ACTCCATATGTACTTATACGTAGAGCTAAGAAAGACCTTTCGCCGGTTATCCCTGAAGGTCAAAGGATTCGCAAGATACTGTTAGGTCTTGACTCTCCACAGTAACTTAGCTCTACTTAAGGATGAAGATGGTTTGGAGGTGAAGATTGTGAAGCCGATCAAGAAGGAGCTGTGCACGGTCGTCTCCAAGCCAGGTGACGAAGTCGAGCAGTTCTATAGATTGACCGACAAAGACGGCAAGGAAATCGGCAGCAACTTCGGCAAAAAACCGTCAGTACAGAAAAATCGAATTTTTCTAGGGAAACTGGGATCTTATCTAACTTAAATGTTTCAGATATACCTTCGTCCTGGGTAAAAATCAAGTTATTGCCGGCATGGACCGAGCAATGACTGGCATGTGCATCGGAGAGAAGCGAAAGGTCGTCATCCCTGGAGCGCTCGGATTCGGTGACGGTGGAAGAGAAAGGTGAGCCCAAATATCTTCGGAAAGCTTTTTGAAATGATCCTCCTTAGTTTTTTACCCCTAATATGGCCTTGACTTAGGTGGGGGGGGAGAGTCTGTATAGATTGAATAATGGGATTATTGGTTATTTACCATTAGGATACCGTACCCTCTCGGAACATACCTTTCGTCAGGAGTACCCAGACCAGGACTGGGGTGAAGGCCCACATTCCCATCTCTTCCTTTAGAGAATTGTAGAGCGATTTTTTGGGCCAGTGGATACTCTGACCACTTTATGGCCTTGGTTTGGAGCAATTAAGGTTACCAAAGGTAAATATGGTTAATGAAACCAAAGAGCCGTTACCGTAATCCAATTGGCAGTTACCATAATCCTACTCTTCTACTGCCCTCCACAAAATGTGCAATTAATGGATATTGATCGATACCGCTCTCTTTCAGAGATAACATCGCCAAAGACCAGACGCTCTACTACACCGTGCAGTTGGTCGATATCTTCCGTGGTGTCCCCGGCGACAAATGGGTAACCGACGAGGGTGTCGAAATCGAGGTAAGGGTTTTCGACAGAAATTCAGCATAAAGCTGAGACAAGGTGTTCTTTATCTCAACCCCACCCTTCTGCTTGGGGCTCTTGATGACCCACAGAGGTGGTTTTTGGTAATCCTTAGGGAGGGTTGATTTGTTCTGAATAGCCTGTCGTGTAAACCGGATCGAAACTGCTGGCGATAGCTGTCTGAGACCTCTAACAGGCTTTCGAGGACAATCTTATATAGCCTCGCATAGTGCCATATCTTCCCCGACTTCCTTTGGATTGACTTTACCAGCCTAACACACGGGTTTTTAAAAAAATACATTCTCGAATGTTCGAAGGGACTAACTGTTCTACTACAGAGCTTATACACTGGCGTGTTGCCAGCCATTCCATAATCCCTGCAAAGCAGAGGTTCTTCTTCGACATCTGTTGGCCTCAACGCCCATTGTTGATTTACGACGGCCAGCCCTCACTTTCGCCAT